GTATATGTCATTAGGTTAACCAAATTTGTATGACGTCATTTTAACTATTGATGATGTCATAATGTTAGGATGTCATAAGAATTCTTATGACGTCATATCCGGTTGGGGGAGGGATTATTTACTGTTGTGTAATACTGCATAAATTAATGGACTTGACACATGCCGTGTTAGAAGCAATTAATCCATAGCGCTTGCGCTTAACTACACGTACGCATGCGTCAAGAATGAATTCGTGTTTAAGAAAACTGTTATTTAAATGTTTAATTGTTTGATATCAAGACCCTGTACAAAATAAAAGTTGTGGCCAATGATTTACCCAAAATAATCGTGTTCGGTGTCCTTTGTGCTGGTGCAACAAATTTAGTACCCCACAAACACTGAATCCATCAGCTGCCACTTGGTCCTGACACATTTGTGGAGATTCAGATTTCTTCCATATATTTATTTAAGATTAGGAATATACTTTTATTAATGCCCTATGCATTAGGAAAATACTATTTGAACCTTGCATAATGATGTCTGTGGAACACTTAGCTCAGTCCCTCCATCTGAGATAAGTTGCAGAGACCATAGTCCATAGTAATAACTGACAAAATTATTTTCATTATATTACAAAACTCCAGTGTTCATGTGTTAATCCTTGTCATTTCATGACTTCCTTCTACCTTAAAGTGCAAGAATCTGGTTATATTGAGGAAGGAGGTATCTTCTCCAGAGATTGAAGTGTAAGCTGCCTGATCAGTACAGATTGGTCCTCTTTGAAGGCTTCTGCCTTGATCCAACAGTTGGTGAGATACTGGGCAATTCTGATGTATTCCTGTAAACCCTCCACCGATAAAACCTCCCATTTGATTTTTAATGGTGAGAACACATGGATAGACTCTTTGTTCAGATTAGTGGTCACTTTTGCATTCAGGAGTTCTTGGTGGGTGTGAGTGCATGGAAGGGGACTCAAAACAGACCTTCCCTACATAGTTTGTCTCATTCTGACATCTGAAATCGCTGATACAATTACAGTTTTGTTTTTAAAAATATTTTCTCATGCTCTAAGGAGCCTCTGTTTGTCATTAAATGATCTCTCTCTCTCTCATATACACACACACACACACACACACACACACCCCGAAAGGGTTTGTGATCTTTTGGCTATCTGTAAATTCAAGTACCTGGAAGGCTATCACTATATGATTTCCCCTTCTTCTTAAGGTGTGTTTTGATTGGAATCATGTAGCCTCCCAGATGTTGTTACATTGCAACTCTCGACAGCTCTATCCAGCATAATTAATGAAGAGGAATGCTGGGAGTTGCAGTCCAGCACCATCTGGAAGGCCATATGATCTCCACCCCTGTTTCTGAGGTATTCCCACCCACTCACCTACATTGCTTTTCAGAGTCTGAAACCTAAGTTGATATTTTATGAATCCCATTAGATACAGCATGCTGAATAATTACTTTGGAAAACTTGTTAATGAACCCTATAGCAGGACCATATCTTCTAATGACTAATGCAATGGTTATATTTGAATGCAAGTTCCAGTGCAGAAGTTCAAAATACAAACGTTGAATGTAGCTTTTACTTATAATTGTTGTACTGATTCTGAGGCCCCACTTTAAATATTGTGCAGACTTAAACAGACACAACTTTTGCACATCTGAGTGCATCCTACATAATTTTAGTTCAGATTTTCTTCAAAATAAGCTTGGTATTTTGTTGGAATAATATTTTGTGACTATATTTGCCTTGAAAGAATGTCACTGAGGTCTTGCACCTTTTTGATACCCAGGAATATTTTTTTCATTAGTAGAGAATTTAACAACAAAATGAAATAATATTAATAATAATGTAGGAACTGCCTTTCTGATTCAGAAGAAACTCATTCTAGTCTACCATTCAGTGGATAGTAAATCTGATAAGCTTAAAGATATGGAGATAGTCTGTCTCTGAATGTGAAGCTTCATTTCAACTGTGATAGTGAATATTTTTCATAGATTTCTCCTGTGCTGGACCTTCTCCACCTGAATCCACCCCTCAAGAACAAGAGAATGCTTTTAAAACCAACAAAATTTACTTTTCTACTTCTTACTGGTAATCTGTTGCAATTTGTTTTCTGAAAGAAAATGCAATTTTTGTGTAAAATACTTGTTTTTTAGTACAAAATGCCATTTTCTGTGCAAATCCCCAACAATAACCTTTTCAACTTTCTTCTTTGGTGATAAAAATAGTAAGAAATGTACAAAGAGTTATACCTAGGAAATGTACCTGTTGTTGTTTCAGTTGACACTGAGTTCTTACAGTGTATGGAAGTTACCCCTAGTGATTGATGGATCCACTCTAAAATCTTTCTGTAGTCTTCATCAAACCCAAAGTTTGATAAAACTTTGATCAGTATATGGCTTACATTATAACAGACAGACAACCATTTTAGATTATAGCACCAATTTCTTTATCATTATCCTCATATTGAGAATACATCTTCTTCTTTTATTTAAATTGTGCTGGTTAAACATTTTACAACTACAGTACTTATTTCATAATGCTATTTAAGGGAGCTGGCCTTGAGTACCTAAGTTTTCACAAATGGTTTTTCTTCATAGGTAAAATGATTCATGTGAGGTAGACCTGACTTTTATGAACTGGATCTGTCCAAGGCATGTGGCTTTTGTATTAATAAATGGTTAAAGAGAGAATCTATCAGCATTTTGGAAGGAAAATAGGGATGAGAGTTACTTATGCAACCTGAACATGATCTTGGGTGGTGCAAAAGTTCATCATTTCAATGGGTGTTCCATGTCAAGTCTTTACATGTGTTCTGGCAATTCCATGCAAACATGTCCTGAAGGCTTTTTTTTTTCCCATTGTGTCTTTGGTATTACTTGATAGAAGGGAGGGAAAAGAAGCAAAGCAGAGGGGAAAACTAAAGGTTAATTGTAAAGAACAATGAAGTACCATTCTAGATAATTAAAACAAGTTTTAGCACAGATTCCACCCCCCCCCCCCCCCCCCCCGATTCACATGCTTAGCCCTTAGTATTCAGTTCTAATTTAATGGGAGTTACAAATATAAATCCCTTTTGAAAAGAGATTAGGTAACTCTTGGTTTCAGAAAGAAGAATAGGCAATTTGTATGTGGAAAAGTCAAAAGAAATTGAAGCTATAGGGTTGAATTAACTCTGAAAGTTTTTATTTGTGCATTCCAAGCAAATGGATAATTAGAGTTGGCTCATGACCAAACTGTTATACTTTTGATTAAAGACACATTTAAAATAAAATACATGCAACATCCATGAAGTACAAAAGCCAGGTTTTCAATGTGATCATAGTACCAAATATAGCATAAATGGAGTGTGTAAAGGCAAAGAACATAGGATTTCGGAGCACTGTGTGCTTCTATTGCAAAGACTGGCTACTGGTTAGTCAATGGACGTTATCACACGGGGGCAAATCTGCTGGTTAATCCACACAAAACCCAAACAGAAACTGGATTAGTGCCCCATGTTTTCACATGACGTCGCACAGACACTGAACAGAAAGTGGACAGAAACTGGTGTTAACCGCGATCTTTTGAAGTTCGGTTATTTGGAAGCAATGCAAATGCGCAATTAAGGTAATTTCACATTTACCGTAATGTGATAACCAAATGCGCATTTGGGAGCATTTCCCTGCTGTTGCCATGGTTCCAGCGAGCATTCCTCTATCTGCCCATGTGCAAGAAGCTCGTTTCTAGTACATTTACGGGCTTTTTTCGCTTGTGTGTGAACGTTAAATGCGCTTACTGTAAATTTGCAATTAAGGTAATTACGTTTGCGGAATTAAGGTTTATTTTCCGTTTATTTTCGGAATGCCTCATTTCCACTTTATTTTCGCTTTCTGGCCCACGTGTGATAACGTCCAATGAGATGTTTAAGTGGTCAATCAACAGTGTATGATTATTTTGTGGCACCTCAAATTATAAGAAGACAATTGTTATTTTTGCAATCATTTACAAAGGAACCTATAAACAAAAGTCTGATATGATGAAATACATACAGATTTTGGTAAATTATGGCCTGACTCAGATTATACATGCCTCTGGATTGGGCCAAAGCCACACCGTGGCCACCTAAGGCAGCCACTCCCAGCCACAAAAGGAACGCAAAAAAGCACTCTTTGCTGGCGGTCCATTGCAGACTGTGGTGACAGTCAGCCTTAGGATGCGGGATCTAGTCACTGTGGTCCCATGCTGAATAGGGAG